CTGTACAGCTTGTGCGTCAGTTGATCGTCATACTCACCACGATCAGGGACACTTTGCTCTCCTTGCAGGCTCCATAGGCTCCCAGGATGGCGATCACCATCGTAACGGAGCCCACAATGTACAGGACGAGGAGGCCGGTGTCCCGACCCTCCAGCTGGAGGAAGAAGAGGCGATTGACAGGTTAATATGGCGAGGAGCTGTTTAATTTTTGTTCATTAATTACACGTTCAAAACGGTGTTTGTTCTTACGTCTCCATTGACGTTGGTGAAGACTTGAGCCAGCAGCGTGATCGTGATGATGACTGCGCCAACAAGCTGAAACCAAAAACAAGAGTTTGATCAGAACTAAAAACACCATAACAATTAAAGCACACAGGAAGTGCCACTTTAAGTCCATCACAATCACAAGATAAATCTGATGGCTGCACAAGCCCCGCCCCCCCGCCAATGTTCCGCTTTTGTTCAAACTTGTAAAACTGGTTAACTTTAAAAATCGTGACATCGTTGAAGCTGCAAACTTGTATTTGGTGCTTTTGATGAAAGATGACGCATCAATTATTTAAAAAAAGGTTACTTTATTTATCGATTATTGTTTACGTTATTTTATTATGCAGCACTTTGGTCAACTCTGGTTGTTTTTAAAATGCGCTTCATAAATAAAACTTCATTTGAAACTTTTAGTGGAGGTCGGCCGCCACAGATCACTGCAGGTTGTTTTATCTCTGCAGTTTAATCTTGTTCTACTTCTCTTTTCTAGGTTTTAGAGCTTTGCATGCTGGGACTTTGAGTGTTTGCTCAAGAAGCTGAATTTTGGATATGCTAAATATGAATTTGAGGTAATTTAATGACAAGTTTCACCATTGCATAGTTTGACATGATGATCAGTCTGCTGGTTGATAAATTGATTGTTCAATGAGAAATATCTGCGTCACAAATCCAGTATTGCCAAGGCTCTAACTTGCACTTTGCAAAACAAGGAAGCTGTTTGGAATGTGACCAACAGAAAAGCCTCTAAGTACTGTTAATAATTAAATAAGCTTGACTGTCAAATTAAAAAGTCATTTTGCCTTCAGACTGAAACCAGCAGAGAACAAAAAACAAAAGCAAGCATTTTGATCACGTTTTCAGTATTAATAACAAACATTTGATAGTTCCAGCTTCTTTTAGGACTCTTTGTCTTACATTATAGTGAATTAATTAACTTTGCATTGTTGAACAAAGACATCTGAAAACATCACCTTGGAATTTACAACTGGCAGCTTTCACTAACTTTAGACAAACTAGACAAATTGATTGATAAATGAAAATGTTGAAACTACAGCCCTAACTTATTTACCAACAATGCTTAAAATAAAATTACTTTTTTTGTGTTTCAAAGTCTCCAAAACAATCCTGAGACATGAGACAGTCGATGACCGCACTTTTTTTTGACATTCACACATATAAACTCATATCACTGCGTATACACACATACATACACTAAACATTACAACTATGAAAAAGATATTATATTTATTCAGAAGAAACATTTTGAACTTTAAAATCGGTTTGTTTGACTTTTCTAAGCCTCAGTTGAAGTCTGCAACGAGGATAAATATAAATAAACATGCAAACACTGCTGTTTTTCCTCATTAAAAACCTTACTGCTCAGTACATCAGCTGATTATTGACTAATTTCAGTATAAAAACATATAAATCGCTGATAAAAGTCTAAAAACGGCGTCGTAAACCCGTCAGGCCCGAGCGGGCCCGACTGACTCCGAGCTCCACTACGCACTTTTTATTACACAGCAGAAGATAAAAGGCGGCCATTTTTTAACGAACTTACCGCGAATAAGATGTTAAAGACGGTGAAGGTGCGTTTGAGGCACGGGTTGATCTGGTGACCCATGTTTACAGACGGAAATACACCGAAAAGTTCAGTAACTTGTTAGTTTTTTAGACACACGAAGCTCCGACTGCAGCGAAGGAAAGTGAGGAGGCAGCCGGAGGATGCTGCTTTTAGCTGCCAGATGGAGCCCGGCGGGCGGGGTTTCCAGTAAATAACAAGGAGGAGGCGCCGGTGGGATGTCTGCTGAGACTTCCGGTGCCTGTTGTAACTGGTGGAAAGGGGGAGAGAAAGGGAGAAGGAAAAGGGGAGGGGAGGATGGGAGGAGAGGGAGAAAGGCTTCATTCCGGGAAGACGAATGGAAAAATCCTATTCAACTGATGGTGTGTGGGTGTAATTGGAGAGCCTGTTTGGGATTGGAGGGATGGGCGGAGTTAAATCCTGACAAAAATCCCATGGCCTGAAATCCCGGAATTTACTGACTTGAACTTCCTGAAAACTCATTATAACACTACAGAGCAGAAAAGGACGTACGTCTTCTAAAGCATGATTTTTTGGTACTGGTCCCTGCAGTATTTCTGTGTCTCTTTGTAGTTGTTTTGTGTCTCTTTGTAGATGTTTCGTATCTCTGCAGTATTTCTGTGTCTCTTTGTAGATGTTTCGTATCTCTGCAGTATTTCTGTGTCTCTTTGGAACTTAAATGCTTTGTCTGCAGTATTTCTGTCACACTGTAGTTGTTTTGTGTCTCTGTGTGGTCGTGTTTTGTATCTTTTGTAGTTGTTTTGTGTCTCTGTGTGGTCATGTTTTGTATCTTTTGTAGTTGTTTTGTGTCTCTGTGTGGTCGTGTTTTGTATCTTTGTAGTTGTTTCGTGTCTCTGTGTGGTCGTGTTTCGTGTCTCTGTGTGGTCGTGTTTTGTATCTTTTGTAGTTGTTTTGTGTCTCTGTGTGGTCGTGTTTTGTATCTTTTGTAGTTGTTTTGTGTCTCTGTGTGGTCGTGTTTCGTGTCTCTGTGTCGTGTTTCGTGTCTCTGTGTGGTCGTGTTTTGTATCTTTTGTAGTTGTTTTGTGTCTCTGTGTGGTCGTGTTTTGTATCTTTTGTAGTTGTTTGGTGTCCCTGTGTGGTCGTGTTTGTATCTTTTGTAGTTGTTTGGTGTCCCTGTGTGGTCGTGTTTTGTATCTTTTGTAGTTGTTTGGTGTCCCTGTGTGGTCGTGTTTTGTATCTTTTGTAGTTGTTTTGTGTCTCTGTGTGGTCGTGTTTTGTATCTTTTGTAGTTGTTTTGTGTCTCTGTGTGGTCGTGTTTTGTATCTTTTGTAGTTGTTTTGTGTCTCTGTGTGGTCGTGTTTTGTATCTTTTGTAGTTGTTTGTGTCCCTGTGTGGTCATGTTTTGTATCTTTTGTAGTTGTTTGGTGTCTCTGTGTGGTCATGTTTTGTATCTTTTGTAGTTGTTTGGTGTCTCTGTGTGGTCGTGTTTTGTATCTTTTGTAGTTGTTTGGTGTCTCTGTGTGGTCATGTTTTGTATCTTTTGTAGTTGTTTTGTGTCTCTGTGTGGTCGTGTTTTGTATCTTTTGTAGTTGTTTTGTGTCTCTGTGTGGTCGTGTTTTGTATCTTTTGTAGTTGTTTTGTGTCCCTGTGTGGTCATGTTTTGTATCTTTTGTAGTTGTTTTGTGTCCCTGTGTGGTCATGTTTTGTATCTTTTGCAGTTGTTTTGTGTCTCTTTGTAGATGTTTCGTATCTCTGCAGTATTTCTGTGTCTCTTTGGAACTTAAATGCTTTGTCTGCAGTATTTCCGTCACACTGTAGTTGTTTTATGTCTCTGTGTGGTCGTGTTTTGTATCTTTGTAGTAATTGTGCATCTCTAAGATGTCTTTCTGTCTCTTCTTGTAGTAATTTTGTGTCTCTTTGTAGTCGTTTGACTTTCAGGGGGCCCTTGAGAGGCCCCTGGGCCTGTGCTCGGTAGCACGGTTCAGTAATCCTTCCTGTCTACATGCCCTGTCAGACTGTTAGACTGTGCTTTGGAGTGAGTGATCTTCTTTGTTTGCACATGCATCTGATGACCTAATACATGACAAACAGGTTTAACGGCTGCTTGATAATAAGTTTTCTTATAAACTACTTTTCCTGTTAAGAAAGGATGAAGAGATACGAGCACAGAGAGAAAGATCATGAACAGTGAGCTGGTGGAGAAAAAAGAAATAATGGGAAGTGAACCTATTGAACCTGGTTTGAAGGAAAAATCCATCCATCGCCAAACGCTTATCCTGCGTACAGGGTCGCAGGGGGCTGGAGCCAATCCCAGCTGACGTCAAGCGAAAGAAGGAAAAATGTGGTTCAAAATACTACTGTGGAAACCCATAAACTCCAGCTCCTGGCTCGTTTCTGGAAAGCAGTTGTGTTTCTGTAAGGGGAGGGGAGGTGTAGTAACTCACTGCAGAGGAATGTGACTGAAGCAAGCTCCAGGAGACCAGTGTGTAGCTGAGAGAAAAAAAGAAGCTTATTCTTGAGAAACACAATAACCTTTGTTTTGTAACTGCTGAGGGTGAAAGCTGAACTGCTGATGTGTTTTTGTTTGATCGGTGTCTTGCAATGTCTTGGCTTTCATCCAGTACAGTTGCAGGAAGTGACTCACATGGTCTTTGTGGTGTTACATGTGCAGACAGGTTGCGATGAGGTGTGAAAGGACGTTCATGCCAACTTCATGCAACGATTAGTCAGGTGAGAGTGTGAGCAGGACTTTTCACTCTTAAGAAGCAAATCGACTCTTTATTTTCCTGACATGTTTACATTTGCACTCCTTTTAAAACTCCTACGTTTTTCTCTATTAACATTAAACATTCATGGCTAAATAAGCAACATACAAAAAACAAACAACTTTCATCAGACTTAAATTCTGTTCATGTGGGATCCCAGTAGTTCAGACCCCGAGAGAGCTAGAAGCTTCTGGAGCAGCCTGAGCCTCATGCCCTTTATTTATATATATATATATATATATATATATAAAAAAGCTATTTTAATTAGTTATTCATTTTGCTGAAATGTGTCTGACAGGTAAACATCAGTATTTGGACCCTCAACAAACAGTCCAGTCCTCCTCGCACCATCTTGGCTAAGGTAAAAGAAAAGCAGAGGAATATCTTGAAGCTGTTTCGCATCATGGTTTAAGTTCTGAAGCCGCCTACTCTGCCAGGTTGTCCAGCTGCTGGTAGGCAGGCGGCTGGTCGATGAACATCACTGGTACAAACAGCGGCATGTTCGGCCTGTCGGAGGTGTTGTACATCTGGTAGATCATCAGTGAAGACGGCACCGAGCCCAGCAGCTGCAGGGAAACACACTTAAGAGTTAATTTTGACACTTTCACTTGCGAGCATGCTTGCTAATCCTCTTTCTACAGAGTCAGATTAGTTTAATCTCCAGTACAAAGTAAAGTCTTGGGTGTGTTCAGCCTAAAGACTGAAAGCACAGGGAAACTGCTGGTGTAGCTTTGTTAAAAAGGGAAAACAAGTCCAAGTCTGTCTGATTTACATGTTGTGTCCAGGGCTGCAGCCAGGGTTTAGAAATGAGTCCAGACCTTTTGTTTCTTTTAATAGAGCTTATTTATAGCAATTCATACCAAAATGCATACAAAAAAGGATTAGAGTTTTCTTTAATGATCAGAGAGGCCGCTGTCAGTCATTTAAACCAGTGGTTCTCAAAGTGGGGATCCCCATGGGTCTTTTTACTATAATTCCATTCATTAGTAACTCAATGACAGAATGTATGACTATTTTGGTCATGAGTTTCATATATTTTCATTAATTAAACATCTAAAAACCCAATATCCTATTTTAATTTGTGTCCGTTAAGGGTTCCTTGATGTGAAAACGTTTTCACGGCACGGTTATGTCACAGCAAATATCATGGGACATAGTAAACGTGACAGAGGAAACTCTTCAGAGGAAACAGAATTCAACTTCTTCTATAATCCACGTTCAGACGCTCTGACGGAGCTCAGGATTGATCAGGAGGACGGCTGCTTTACTCAGAACAGTTTCACTGGATGAACCTGGACTGTGTGAGAGACCTTTTGAATGTGGAGAAGAACATGAATTAACATTAGACCCTGACTGATCCTGGGGCGTGTCAGGAGATTTAGATATGATGTTATGTTGCTGTACCTTGTGTGTAAATGCACACTGTGTCTCGCTTCACCTTATTTCACACATGTTTTTTATTAGAATTTTTCTTGATAAGATCTAGCCTATTTGTAAAGACTCCGGGCCTCTGTGACCTCATAGCTGGTTACGGCCATGGGCGTATCCTGTTTGTTGAATGGTGTGACAAATGGATATTGTGGTTGAAGCTTCTCGGCTATCAGGACACCACATGTAGATAAAAGATGTGGTTTTATTTTTATTTTGGAATTAGACGTCATTCGACACCACAACAACTACTGGATCGTTGCCTCTAATGCCGGCCGCATACCAGAGGATAAATGGGCCAAGTTTGGGTTTGACTCCCCCTTCCCACAGATTATTGGCCCAAAAGATCCTGTAGTGTGAGCGATATAATCTTAAAATCACCGACTGGATCACCGGCTCCCTGATTTTGAATCGTAGTATGGGTGCTATTGATAAGATTACCGTAAAACATTGATTAATAGCCCAGGCTTTTATTTGCTAAAATCACTGAATTGACCCTGCCTATATTTGGGTCTTTAATTTCTTTTGCACAAAACTAAATGGGCTACTGTGAAAACAGTTTATTTATTTCAAAGAGTATGAATATTACTTGTATTAAAAATATCTAAAATAATAACAAATACACTAATTCATTTGATCTAGCTCCGAGAGACGGCTTATGCGCTTTTAATTTGTAGGCAGCAACGTAAGGACAAAAACAACAGGGTGCAGGATGAGAGAAGTTAGCAGACAGAGAGCGACGGACTTCACGTGACAGGATTCACAACTTGGATTCATTTTTCTGAAAAGCTGATTCTTTTGACAGACTAAGGGAAGATAAATAATCACGGAACGGACACATTTAGATTTAACGAGCGCTTCAAAGGTAACAGGAGTCGGCACTTTTTTTTCTTTTCTTCTCTTGTCCCACAGCAGGCCAGGAAAGGAGGGAGGCGGCTATCTGGGACTCTGCTATTAATTGAAGTTTTACAGTATGTCTCTAAACTCCTCACGCTATGGGTGTGAATCAGAAACCTGTAACATCCAATGAGGGCGAGCTGACAGGGAAGCGTCACCAGCGTGTTGTGTATCTGCTCGTGCTATAAAATGTATAAACCCACGTGGTGATTTCTTTTTCTCAGCCTCGAGTTCATCCACAGTTTGATTCTCTTTTTTGTTTTTGCAACCAGCTGACGACGACAGTCTGCCTCCATGTTTGTTTCTGTCCTAAGTCATTTTTGATCCCTGGGACCGCCACTCTGAAACCGTTTGGTATAAACGCCGAGTGTGGGGTCCTGCGCCTGAACTGAATCATCTGGTGTTCTTAAGATTAAAATCTTAAAAATGTCGTTATGTCTTTGGTATCTCACGTTTTTTAAAAATCATTTTACATGTGAAAATCCTCTAGTGTGCACCACGCATAACGCAAACAAATTGTACGAAGAAGAAATTAAGCCCTAACTAGTTAGCTTCAGTGTCTTAACCACCAGTTCTAGTCAACAAACGCCATCTTACTCTTTGATACAACATGTAAATCATTTACAGTCATTGCGCCCAGCTAGCCAAGCAGTTTCTTGCTGCTTGCGATCTTTGTGCTAAGCTAGGCTAAACACATCCTGGACCCATGTCTGCTTAAGATGTGCAGAGAACAAACAGATATCCATCTTCTCATCTGACTCACAGCATCCAATAAAACATATATATTTACTTTTAGTTATTCTCTGTCATGGCTGAGAGAAAAGTTATTTTGTTTAATATTAGTGGTGGGTCTAAAAATCCCAAAACATTCAACCCACCGCCAGGGCGAACAGAGTGAAGAAGACGCCCAGTATGATGTTAGCACTTCTTGTAACAGAGGACAGGAGGAGAGGAAGCAGTTCTGGTGATGGGAGGAGAGAAAGGAGCCACAGTTCACCCACGTTACAGAAAAACACATGTTTTTATTTACACTCCGTGGTATCTAGTAAGTCTATATGGTGAGAATAAGAAGTCCTGTCCTTCTGATCTCCAAAAAGTTCCTGTTTGAGGTTAAAAGCAACCTCCACCATGCTCTTACTGCTTCACAGGCATAAGAGCATGATGAGACTGTTAATAATCATCTTTTGTCCACTGACCTGTCTGAAGACAGACTTCTTCTCCCAGAAAAGGTTGAACACAAAGTTCTGGAACAGAAACACAAAGAAACTCAGTGGTCTGGTTTTGTTCATGTAGACTTACAAAAATGTGTTTTAATAATACAGACTCCGTATCTGATGGAGTGACACTTTCCCTGCAGCTCCTTCTCCTCCTGGTTGCACAGACAGGAGCCGGGAGGTTCCCGTTCCAGTCCTCATGACTGAACAGGCCACAGCAGTGCAGCTAAACACAAGAGAAGAAGAGCTAGTGCCCCCTACAGGCCGCAGTGTTCATTACAACACACAGAGATTTATATCCATCCTCTCACATGACTCTTAAAGAGAAAGCTAATTATTTACCAAAATATTATTGTAATGTGAAAACACACACTGTGTCTGTGCGTGTGCGAGCATCTTACTGATTTCTGCAGAGCTTCAGCCTGATTCTTGATGTCGTCTGAAGCCTGATCCAGTGGAAGAAACGAACGCCACCTTTCCTCCATCACACTCGCCAACTACAAACACACATCGCAAATTAAATGAAAGACACTGGGGCTGCAACTGATGATAATAAGGAGGAGTTTATCCAGTAAAACAGTCAGTCAATTGTTTAGTAACTTAGTTACTTGATTTGTCTTTAAAATGTCAGAAAAAAAGGTAAAAAATTAAATCAAACTTGTGAAAATAGGGCCCCAAATAGCAAAATTACCCTTTAACAGCACCAGAAAGCCATGGTGAAAGACGTATTGGATGTAAGTAAAGGTAGCACAGTGGAAAAATACTCCATTACAAGTAAAAGTCAGCATTCAATATCTTGCTGAAGTAAAGAATTATTATCATCAAAATGTGCATAAAGTATTGGAAGTAAAAGTAAGCACCTGTCTGATGCGTTAACATGTAAGCAGATGGACCTGCAGGTGAAACTCATTCCTTGCATGACGTCCTCTACAGTGGACAGATATTTGGAAGCCATTTTGAGCCATAAATATATTTTGGAAAAGGTTTCAAATTTAAAAATTACTTTGTGATTTATGAATTCATTCATGAAATAGATAAACTGATGCTGTAATTAGACATTAAAGACATTTATTTGCTTTGAACATTGGCCTACGATCATCAGAACACAACAACAGACTGGGTAATAAAATTGAAAGGTTTAGTTGAATTAAAAACATATAAATAGGATTAGGGAAAATATTATCACTGAATGAAATGTCTTTCAAATTTCAAAAACTGGCACCAAAGTTGTTAAATTGGATCTGCAGGTGATGTGGCGTTACCACGTTGAGGTCATCCAGGAGCTTCTTTATGAGCTTATATTTACAGAATTCATAAAATACTACATACATTTCAGGGATACATTCATATTAACAGATTGACATACTGTTTGCTAAGGTTTTAGCTGCAGTCTTGTTAAGAGTCAGGGCAGGGAGTTTGCTGTAGACTCTTAGAAACAGTCAGGGTTGTTACCTTGGGTCGGGCTTTGGCAGCAGAGACTCCAGCTTGGAGCATCAGCAGACTTCCAATGACCGTACACACCAGGAACTGCAGAGAAAATGAAACCAGAAGTCATCATAAGAAAGAAGATCCATGTAGTTTTTCTCTTTTTGGTTTTGAATGAAATGTTTGGGTGGAGGCAAATTTAAAGTTAGGTTTAAAGTTATCAATAACCACTATCAGGTTTGTTGGAACCAAACGTTTGTACAAATTTCAGCCTGCAGGACACCGGACATCTGTCCCGACATCAGTTTTTAAACCTTTCACGCTGCACTCCTCCTGCTGGTGGGTTTGGATGCGAGTGAGTCTGTCTGATTGGCTATGAATTGAAGACAGAATTGTAAGCCATCACACTTTGGCCCAGTTGGAGGCCCCCGTTACACAAGGGAACGTTCTGATTGGTAAGATTTTTAGAGTCTGTCCCTAAGTGACACATGTGATGGCAGAGAATTGTTTTTTCTTCTCCTTCTAATTTGTTATGCAAGTACTAATAGTACTATTTTATATTATTATTATTATGTCTTATATATTGTTTTTAATCTTTAACCTGTTCTTTTTATTATTATACTCATTATTGTAGTCTGTCCACATCAGGGTCAGGGAGGTGAAGTTGTTTTATTGTTTTTCTTACTAGCTGTGACAGCGATCTTTGTTCCCCAAAACATAGAAACCCAGACTTTGTAAATGATCATGCAGCCCTTTGCTCTGGGCCAGACGTTAGTGACTGTCCTAGGTCCTCTGATCCATCTGCATATGAGTTTTAATACTTCTCTGTTTATTCTCTTTTAATAATCAATTCTTCAAAAGACAATGGTTTGTTGTAACTCAATGATTTGCTCAATCCCTCACCAGGAATACCACAATTTTCCACGACAACACATAAAGACAGAACCTGGGGAAAAGGACTTTTGTTATACAAACATCGTACTGTCTCTGTTACTACCAACGTTCCCGGCTCAGAGGCTGATCAAATCAGACCCCCCTTTCCGGCTCCGTACCTTTCATTTAGCGCGGCAAGCCGGCATATTGGCGTAATAATTCGGGAAAATAAGGCAGTGAAGTCGCAACAACAAGTTCACTGCTCACTAAATATACACAGTGCAGCAGATACGAGTCACCGCGATCCTGATTGACAGGTAGCGGCTTGTCAGTTCCCACCGTGTCGTTTGTTGTTTTCTGATGATAAATTCGGTGCTTTCTTTGTTAGAAATAAACTACACTGATCATTTAAGTATCTCAGGGTTTCATGTCCTCCTGTGCACCGCAAGTGACCTGGACTGTTAGTGGTCACTACATTTAGTTTCTGAGGTTTCTGCTCACCACAGTCAGAGTTACCCGGTTCTTCTTAAAGGCTCCATAGGCTCCCAAGATGGCGATCGCCATGATAACAGAGCCAGCGATGTAGAGGACAACTGTAGTGTAGCGACTGGTTCTCTGAACTTCAACCTGCATTTTGGAGAGTTGGTTGGCCGGTTAGTGATGTGCAATGATTTTGGGTGTGTCTCCAGTGATAGCTGGTGTTTCCGTCTTACGTCTTCTCCTCCATGCAAGTCGTCCAGCGACGGAGACAGCAGAGCCAAGGAGACGATGATGATGAGTCCACTACAGATCTAAGACATAAGAGGACAGGAGGAAAACTACCACAATCTATATCAAAGACAGATGTGGAAATAATTTAATGACAAAATAACCAGTCAACAATGAACCTGTACCTTTTCAAGACTGCATTCCCCAGTTAACATCCTTTCCCTCTCTCCCCTCCTTTTCTTTTTAATTAATTACTTTTATCTTTCCCCCATCCATCCATCCATCCATCATCACTGCTTATCCTGCGTACAGGGTCGCGAGGGGCTGGAGCCAATCCCAGCTGACCTCAGGCGAAAGGCCAGGTACACCCTGGACAGGTCGCCAGTCCATCGCAGGTTAATCTTTCCCCCAATAAAGATCATTTAAAAAGCGCTATATAAATCTAATTTATTATTATTATCATTTCTACTTCTTGTTCTTCTTATTTGTGTGAATTCTGTTGGAATGTTGTTTTTTTCTTTTAGACCTGTGCAAAGGTACAAATATTTTGGGGAAAAATCTGGTGAATCGCACAACAGATTCTTGGGCTGCAGATCCCATTGACATAAGTGTCACTCTATTTGACAAAAGGAATAAGAAATGACAGAAAACCCTATAAAATATTTACTGCAGCAGCAAATAAAGCTTGCAATAGGCATAGGCCGATCCACCTACCGAGGAGAACTGGCTGTAAATCATCGAAGAGATGCACGAGATGGAAAGACTTTCCTTTTAAAACTGAGAAAATATTTATACATTGTGAGGATAATATATTTGTTGGAATACGTGGCTGCACTTTTCTTTGCCAGTCATGGATAATTATTTGCAAATGAACTAGAGATGCAGTCCATAATCCATACTATATAATGTTTGTCCGTCCTGCTGCCCCAAATACTCAGTAGAGCCGACTAGAGCACATGTGGATTCATCAGCCGCTGAAAATAATCCCCAACATATGCACTACTTCCTCCTGTCTGATAGAAACTACAGCAAGCAGCTGTTTTAGGAAATGACTGAGCCTTTTTAAACATGAACTCATATATCTGTGAGGTCTTGTTTGAGTCTGCACATGAGATTTATTATATATATGATGGTATGAGTATGAGCGAATGTACATGCGTGTTTATATATGAGTATACATACTTGTTTCTGCTTTTCTGTTCTCTTAGAATCCTGTTAAGAACTTTCAATTGCACAAATTTGCATTTGTATAAAATGAAGCCTACACTGAAACCAATAGTTGATTCAGTGATTAGCTGGAAAAAATGCTTTTGCTGCTTTTGTTTTGTTTTATATCAGTGTAAACTGAAAGTCTTGGGCTTTGGTCTTTTGGTTGAACAAAACAAGATGTTTGAAGATGTCCCCTTTGCTATATTTTGACATTTCATAGTCCAAAAAACGTAGTGGAAAAATCACAAGATAAATTGATATTAAAAATAATTGTTAGTTGCAGCTCTAATGGTGGAAAAACAAATACAGACGAACTGTTTCACTGTTGTAAACAGAGAGCAGCTGGTAAGTTTCAATTTACACTGAAGCTTGGGGCTCTTTGCAGACCTGATACAGCTCTGCTGAGGTCATCTGTAATATTTTCCATTTATCAAACTGACCGTAAATCAGTCAGTTTGACATAAAGTGAGTCACATGACTCTTTCAGGGCAGGCAGGTTTATTTGTGTAGCACATTTCGACAACAAGTCAAAGTGCTAAACATGAAACAAAGACTAAATGTAAAAGCAACATAGGGTAATATAAAAAGACATTTTAATTCAACTAAGATAGAAAACAAACAAACAGACAGTAAAAGTTACAATGCAGTGTAAAATATTAATCTAAAAGCCTGGAATTTAATAAAAGGCAGGGGCAAAATGACAAAGTCTTTAGCTGTGATTTAAAGCAGACCTGCAGTTTTCTAGGGGGTTTGTTCCAGATATATGGAGCATAAAAATGAAACGCTGCTCCTCCAGGTTAAGCTTTGACTCTGGGGACAGAGAGCAGACCTGATCCCAGACAACTTGAGAGGTCTGGATGGATCAGAAATGTATTTTGACCCAAAACCATTCAGTGCTTTATAAACCAACGGCTGTATTTTAAAAATTCATTGACAGACAGGAAGCCAGTGTAAAGACCTCAGAACTGGAGAGATACTCCTTGTTGGTCTTAGTGAGGGCTTGAGCAGCAGGCTGACTTTGTAATTGGCTTAATGTGGCCATGACTATGGATTTGGCTTGTGTTTTTTAACGTAAAAACAAACAAACAATCAATCAATAACAGTGAAATGCAAAGCCCTGTTCCGGTTTGTTTAAACCCTGACTCATAAATGCACCTCCTGTATTTCACCAGCAGAGGTCATTAATGTTCTCTCTGTTTCAGCTGCAAGTCATCATCACTGTTCTCCTCTGTGCACTTTGTATCTTCTCAAAAAACACAAGTAGCCTGCTTTAAAATCCAGTTACTCACCCCGAAGAAGACGTTGAAGCTGATGAAGAGGCACCTGAGCCAGGGGTTTACCAGAGGCATGTTGCTGCTGCTGGTTAGAGGAGAAAAACATCCAAATGGACAGTGATGTTGACCTGAGTTGACTGTTGTTCGGAGCAGGTTATGAAAGTGAAACGAGGAGACAGATGATGGGCAGGGCTTCCTGCAAAAGATGGGAGGTAGAGGAAGCTGCTTCAGGATAAGATATTGAGGAGGAGATGAGCTTCACTCTCCAAAGAACAATGAAATGTCTATAAAGAGTCTCATAGTAGTTATCCAAGGTGGGTTAAAATCAAGGGGATCTGGACTGGGTTGAAGAGGCTCGAAGATTTTTCACCTCTCATCCAAGAGGCTTCTTTAGCTCTGACTGACTGGAAGGTCTTGAACCGGGAGGACAGATGGATCGAAAGAGGACTGAAAAAAACCATTTACACCAGAGTAGAGAAACCATCTCTCAACATGGGAGGACGGCTGAGACACCTCACTTACAATGCTGTCCTTTCATCCCTTCCCAGGAAACTGAAAAAAACGCTCACATTTGGCCTCATGTGACAATGCAATACAATAACCAGGAGCAATAACGAACCAAGCGGTATCCATCACCTTCATACCGACCCCACAGTGGTTAAATAACTGGGACTCCCTGCCAGGAAGTCTTGGATGAGAGGAGATAATCTTCAAGTGTCTTCAACCCAGTCCAGTAACCCTTGATTTAACCCAGCCTTCAAAAACTATGACCTGGATGACTGAGACTCTTCACAGACATTGTAAAAGTGGATTTTTCTGTTTGGATTTCATTGTTCTTTGGAGAGTGAGGCTCGTCTCCTCCTTAATATCTAATAGGATGTAATGATGGCCTAGATGCTGAAATTAAAGTCTGGCGTTGATAATGTAAAGGATTAATCACCAGAGCTGTGGACTCGAGTCACGTTCAACTTGCCAAAATCAAGACTTGCAACTCGTGACTTCACTTGGACTTGAGGCTTTTGACTTGAATTGACTTAATACCCTCCCCAAGTCCAAATATAAATTATCATGTACATAAAAACTATGCAGCGCATTAACACTTCATTTAATTCATGAAATTATACATTTGTTGTGTGAAACTGAGCCTCAGCCTTTTTCTTAAAGCAGGTTAATGCTTTAATCAATAATTTAACTCTTGTTAAAAATAAGAAATTGTATTAAATTTGGTGAAGAAAACATTATGACTTGTTTAGGACTCGAAACTCGGATCACGACTCGGACCTGCTTGTCTGGACTTGGGACTTGAGTTGAAACTTTGTGACTTTGTAAAAGAAGGATTTGGTCCCATCTCTGTAAATCCAAAAAAACATTCCTGATGATCAGATGTGAGCAGACAAATTAAACAGAGTTAAGCATGCAGCTGGAAACCAACCCAGTTCATCCAAAACTGCTGAGGTTGGCACACAATGACAGAGAAAACAGCTAAATTAATTTTTTAAATAACAGATTAAGAGGCAAATCCTTAATATAAACTGAAAACAGACTTGTTAGCTCCTTTTTAATCGGCGAAATCAATTGTTTTTATTATTATTTTATGTGGAGATACGGGCTAACGGTTGTCGTCAGTGGCGGCCATTTTGCCACAGGTTGAACTGTTTTAACTTTAATTACGTTAAGCTAGTGGTTATTTCTAACTGCCATAAATGTTATAATTGACTCATAATTACAACTACGGCCTGATGTGAATGCTTCTCCCCGCTTTACTGCGAGTAATTACGGTTTGTGTGATTTTACATATCACATTGTATTTTGATTGAGACGGTATAAAGTGACACGGCATTAGCATAGTTAGCTAAATTAGCTGTAGAGTAAATAACAAGCTGCTACTTCAGTATTGCTAGCTGAGGCTGCGGTGCTTTTATCACTTGGGAATCATATTAAAATTTCCAAATTTCCATCATCAATAGTTGACGTGGACGTTTCCCCCACTTTGCTGCTTAGGGTTAAATTAGGAGTTGATGTTATGTTAGCCTAAACGGGCATTAGCATGTTAATGTAACATGCTAATTTTGAGCATAGTGGCTATATTAGCATTAACAAGCGTTAATGCTAATGTGGCTATATTAGCATTAACGCTTCTGTTCGAGGTCACGTTAAGTTATTATATCGTGAATCGAAGTTTCGAAGATTTTGACTTGTTGGTGGCTCAACGTAAACATTTTGGGGGACAGTTTGATTATTTATAAACTGTAACTTTACACTTTTATTTTTATCGATCTGTAGCTTTGTTGTTATAGACAACTATTAACGTTATCGACACTGCCCGGCTGCTAACATGGCTAAAAAATAAAACAAACTGACAAATAAAATAAAATTAACCAGGAACACACACACACACACACACACACACACACAGATAGATTTATTGTCATCAAATCTTGACTAAATGTCCTCTTCCTCTCTCTTCATCATCACCACCAGCCTCCACCTGAACCACATCTCGCCAAACACCTCCCTGTTGTCTCTGAATGTCAGGCGGAGCTGCTCCTGCTGCATAGCGGCTGTTCCTGCTATAGCCAGGCCGCTGGAGGACATCGAAGGGCGGGGAAGGAGCCTCGCAGGGAACCGGTGTTGGAGCGTCTCTCTGGAGCTCTGGCGGCGTCTCCTCCCTCATGCTGCGGACCTACAGATAGAAGTACGGAAATATACACCGGCTGCTTTCCTTGATGCATTTTAATAACAACACTGAGAGAATCTGCAGGACCCGATTTATTTCAGTTTGAGCTGCAGAAAGGAAGAATGGGTCGCAGAGGAGGAGCAGGATTTCTCACCATGTTTCTTCACGTCTTCTGTCTAATATGGACACAGCTGCTGATCACAGGTAAGCGTCTGTTATCTCAATATTGCCTCCAACAAGACATACTAACTGCAAAAGTGCACAAATGGCACGATGGTTTAGCTATTTCTTTTGGTAATTTAATAGTCTTCTCTCAGTTGCATTATAAAAATGACCAGAAAACGCTGGTAACAGCTCCTCAAATGCGAACATTTGTTTGTTTTTAACCCGAACATCCGTGTTGCTCCAGATAAAATAAGCAAAATAACATCTTTAACTTGTGATGGCAATTTAAAGGTATTTTATCATATAGTTTCTATTTAATTCTTAAATAATATTTGTTACAGCCTAATACAGTATGTGGAGAAATGCCCCCAGAATATGCTGTCTTCTCGTGTGTGTTTGTGTGTGTGTATAAAATATCCTACATGGTTGAAGAATTTGCCATAAAGTAGCTCAAGATAAAGTCAACACACATTGATGATCATTTCTACTATTGATACAGGAATAGTCCAAATTCAAATGTTCAGTTCTTAGAGGTCATACACCCCCCCCCTATGTTTAAATGAGAAACATAAATCTTCACACTGAATCAGCTGGAACCAGATAATGTTTGTGTTTTTTTATTATGAAACTGGTGCTGAAGACCTTTCCTGTGGATAGACCTCCTGAGGTTTAAAGCTCAATGCTTAATTAACAGTTAATATTTTAACCAAAACAACAGATTTAAACATTTTAACACCTCTTATGATTATTTGAAACTGCAGCACAATAAACACAGATAAACCCTCTGCAGCCTCAGGGCTGTTAAATGCCACGTTTCCTGTGTGAAAACTCAGAAACTGAATCCAGGTCAGACTAAACCACTAGACTGAGATCTTATAAAACTGAATGCCTAATTGGCTCCCAGGTGCAGCTCCTTCAATGACCGTTAGATGCCGACTGTATTGATGTGAGTGCAAAAAGCCAAACGAGTGGAGCTCTCTCGATTTTCATAATGTTTCCTTTTTTAAAACAAAAATAATACTAAATTGGTGATATACAGATATTTGTTTGTGTGCTTGATTTACCAAGTGTCCCAGCTCTTGTCCCAGACTGCAGCTAAAGATTATTTTCATTGCTGATTAATCTGTTTTTGTTCTCGATTAATCGATTAGCTGTTAAGTCTATAATGTGTCGATCAGTGTTTCCCAAAGCCCATGATGTTTTGTTTTGTCCACAACAATTCAGTTTTCTGTCATAAAGCAGGAAAGAAACCAGAAAACATTCACACTTTAAAAAGCTGGATTCAAATAATTTGTTAAAAAATGACTCAAACTGATTAATCAATTATCCAAATAGTTGGTGATTAAATTTATAGTCGATAACTAATCGATTATTCGATTAACTGTTGCAGCTCTACCTGTCAGTGGCAGTTGTTACTTGCTCTGCGCCCTCGGCTCCTCCCAAGCCCCATCGCTTTACCCAAATTTAGATTTTCTTGCTCCAGATAGTTGCAGTCAGTAAACCCTTAACTCCACTGGTGCTTTCAGAAGGCTGTGAGTGATGTTACACCCACTTCAGTCAGCTTTTTAAGTGTTTTCCTTATCAGGCTAAACAGTAGCACACGCCAAATTAATAGGAAACTTGATTTTTGTGTGGCACTTTTTGAAACATAGAGCATAACAGAGTGAATCATATATTTACATCTTTGTTAAATGGCTTTAAAAAACTTTACAGAACACCAGATGGATCATTTTTGTAACTGCAGGAAGGAGTCCACGTCTGTTGTGATGCACCAAACCACTTGTTTCATGCAATGGTTTTATTAAGTTCCTCAACTCATGCAAACCAGTCCTCTCTTTCCCCGCAAATTTAAACTCTGTATGCCACACAGAGTGGAATTTATGGGAATAATTTTTATGTAAGATAACATGAGGCGATGGACTGCAGTAGTACTAAAACAGTCAGCAGCTCACTGTGACTGAAATAATGTATATTATAGTGAAGGCATTATATTATGTGATGATAGTGACCAAATATCAGTTTATAATCAGGATCTGTCACATCTGGCCTGATCTCACAGATTGGCAGTGGTGGAAAGTAACTATGTACTTTTACTCAAGTACTGTACTTGGGTACAATTTTGAGGTACTTGTAATTTATTTAAATATTTTCTCCTACTTTATAATTCTACTCGACTGCATTTCAGTGACAAATATTGACGACACTGAAATGTCCGATTCGGCAGTTAAGGGAAACTTTTTTTATTGTATTTGTGAAAATGCAAAAAAAAAAGACAATTTATCTGTGATTTTAGAATGGCTGCACGGTATTGGGGGAAAAAAACCTGACATTGCAATTTGTTTTCTGTGATATTTATTGCGATATGAAAAAATACCAGATGACTTCAAGTGCTCCATTTGAAAAGAATTAAGCATCCTACAATTATTGGAGTGATTTTGCAGGGAAAATGCAGAGAAAATAAAAACAAATAAGCTGAAACTATCCTTTCTTGAGCTTTAATGCAGTAAATGTATTTTAAACCAAATAATAAAAGTAAAGATCAGCTGTACACCAGCTTCCTAAGTGGTCAAGCCTTTACACAATGAGACATTATCTAACGTTACATCGCCGACAGCCTTCCTTTGCCATCAAACACCTCGGTCGAATCAGTTAATAAGTTCCGCTCATTGACATTTTGTTTTTTTGTAAAGAGCAGCCACATGGATTAAACGAGTTAGCAAACTCTAGCTGGTGGAAAAGTAAAGTTAGGACAGCTCAGCAGTTCTCCTGAAGTTAGGAGAGTTTATTTAAGATTTTACGGAGTTAGGATGCTTCTGTAAAACACTTTTCTTATCTAAAGTTAGGAAAGGAACATTGACTCAGGAACTGTTAATCTGTAACGGCCTTTTTCCTAAATCAGTTCCTAACCCTTGTTACCATGGTTACCAAGCGGTTAGGATAGGAAGTTTCTGTAATACCTGGACTGTAATAATGAATATTGAGGCACAAACTGGAGCTGCTAGTATTTTCTACATAACACCTCCATGGTCCTGAGCTGTAACGGCCTCTTTAGGACAGTTAGCGTTATGTTCTTAACCACAGAAGTCAAAAGGCTTAATTTTTGAATGTTTATTAATTTTAATTTAGCTGTATAACGTTAGATGCAGACAGACAAACCCAGGTTGTTTTCTAGTGCGTCTCCCCACAGAGTTACCGGGTTAGCCCTCTCTAACTCGACCTGGGATTGGCTGACAGCTCCCACAGAGGCGAGGCCAACTCTTCTGTCCAATCAGAGCACAGCCCAGCTCAGCCTCGCACATAGCAACCAGGACGCTGCGGCTAGGGAGAAAAGAAGAGAGACCAGAGAGACGCTGTGTCAGCTCCACAGCCGTCTCTAAGGACTCCCTCAGTGGACTGAAACCTGCTTTTAAACTGCTGTTTCAGGTTGTTTTTTTTAATCTAACACAGCAAAATATAAAGCAGGCATTTATTTTAGAGCTGCAGCCTCTGAACTGGCTGTAAGCAGAAAAACAGGAAGCTCGCATGAATCTGTCAGACATGCCTTTTAGTGACAGATTTTTCCAGATCCAGCCAAGAGAAATAGCCCTGTACTCGGCAGGCAGACGGTCTGGTAGACAGAAGTCAGATCATGCTGTTAGATATTTTTTTTGGCTTCCTTTTTTTTGTTTATTTTCTGCCAGAACAAACAGTAGACGCCCGCACGAGCACTCTGTCAGCTCAGACTGCGTGGAGGTCAGACTGAAGCTGTACAAAACTACATCCAAGCTGCTGCGTAGTTTTCAAACCAAAGCGATCTCGGTCCTCACCAGCAATTTAGCTGCCTGTCAGAACTGATCTCCGTCTATATTAAAACGACTGAATACGCACATCTAGTGGCCGTTCAGGTGCACTGGGCATGTGCGTGCCGGTGTAAACAGGAAGCAGATTGTCTACTCGGCAGTTGCAGAAGATTTGGCGAGTACTACTACAGACGAAGAACTTCACCAGAGATTTCTTTGCATGGACCGTCAACGAGGAGGAACTGTTACTTTCAGTAACGCGGGAGTACAAAGAGACAGTGACGGCGGAAAACAGACTGGGAGTCACCGCAAAGCAAATACAGCGACATGCACAGAACAAGTGTGTTAGTGTTATTTACACGGTACAAAATATTTAAATAAAAATACACCAAAACGGAAACTCTGGCAGTAGCATCGTGTTCTTGTTTGACCCAAACAGGAACCCAAGCGTCTGCGTCATCGTTTTTAAAGTCCTCTGTTTTTGCCTGTAAGCACTAACACGCTAACCTGGAGTTTAAAACCTAAACGGGGTCAGCAGCGTTTTCTCCGTTTTAAAACGAAAACGTAGTAGTGTGGAGGGAGCCTGAGAAACTTCCAGCATCAGCTCTTCCTCAAGCCTTAAATGGCTCTCAGGTCTGCATACAATGTTTATTGGTGCTTGTGTCAACAACCTGCACGTCCATGTTGTCTTTCCAACCAACAGACACTGGAAGTCAAGACGACTGGGCTCAGCTCCAGCCGCTGAAGGTTTCTTTAAAGAGACTGCAGGTCCACCTCGGGTCCTTTCACTATGAATGTCTGTAGCTGTGAATGTGAAGCCGGATGCTGCCGGGGAATGAGCGCTTTGCTCAGTAGATTAATTTTTCTCCCAGGATAAGTAAAGACTGGGTATGAATTATGCAGTGTTCATATTCATCACGGCTGGGTGAGTTCAGACGGCGTGCAGGGGTTTCCTCTCAGCCTGCCTGCAGATGGATGAAATGCTCTGTCCTGACCAAAGACGCTGTGACAGCAGAGAGACAGATGGGATCTCCCGCTCTCATCTCTTTCACTGCTGTGTCTCTGGGAGTCCTGCCCAACGGGCAAAAAACCGTACCAAAGTGCGTCACTTTTATTGCCTTTTTAAAAATAAACAATGCAAAAGTGAAAGGAATGGTCTAAACAGTGCGTTTGTCTGCTTTATAATGAGCTGCTAATGTTAGCATTAGCTCACTACATGCAGTGGTAACCAACTGTTATGTCCAAGAGTTGGCACACCATTAGCTAACTACAGTACTTTACAGGTTATTTTAGAAGAACACCATCAGTCTCATGACATTAGTTCACCAAAATCCTCTGGTGGTTCTCCTTAAAATGGGAACAATAAGCATAAGTCAAACCTTTGTGTTGCTTTTAAAAGTGTGATTTTTCTGTAGTGAGCATCAGTATGTTAGAAAAGAATGGCAGTTAAATCTTAGATTTTTCCTTGATCTCTAAATTGGGCACATCAAACCCTGAAAAAGAAGTCGATGATGTCGATGACCTGTTGGCTTTGGCCTCAGTCTTGTGGTGCATCTCAAAAAATTGAGTATCTTGGGAAAAGTAATTGGTAAAAAGTTCCGTAATTTAATTAATAATTTCATGTATTCATGTATTAAATACACATAATGTGAAATATTTCAAGGCTTTTTTTTGTTTTGTTTTAATCTTGATGATTACAGCTTATTAGAAATCAAAACTACAGTACCATTTTTAAATTTGAATTTTAGAATAAAGAATTTATAATACAGAAATGTCGACGCGAGAAGAGCTCTGATCAGCTAAATAACTCAGCATCTGCAAAGGTTTCCTCTCTGTCTGGTTCTGGTACTCACAGTGAACCACAATATTATAATGTTTTTAGATGTGCCTGGTATATAGACCCATAATTGAGACCCTTAGAGTGGGTTCTTTGTTTTATTTTCCAGCCGCAGACTGCGTTTTTAACCGGCTCTTGGAGTAAACGGTAATTGGCTACCTAGCTACAGCTTATTCATTTTGCCAGAGATGCCTCTCATTTCAGCAAAATTGACAGCATTTGACTAAAAATGAGAAATTGCTTTTGTCTACTTCTTCAACAACGCAATGTTTCAGAAGTCTCTGTCAGTGTTAATGTAGGTACTGCAGCCTTTTATCATTGTAAAACGTATACGTGTCATGCAAGAAGGCAAAACATGAAACGTGTAGCAACAGTACACAAAAGCATTTTTAATCTCATATCTTCTTCTCTCCTCAGAATCGGCTTCCGGTGATCACGAGTTTCGGCTCTTCCCTTTTCGCCGCTCTAGTCGTCTCCATCCGCCTCTGCACCACCAGCACGACTTGGACCCACAGCACGAGTCCCACCGCCTCCACCTCCACCATCACCTTCATCAGCACCCTGCCAGGTTAGACAAAGAGATGCCAGCCGCCCTCCTGGGGTCTCGCTTCCGTCAGGAGCCCAGGGGTCAGCGAACCCTCAACCTGCTGGCGCGGCCCCATCACGAGGTGCCGCCGGAGCACGCTGTAGTGTCTGCACGCCATCTGGTTACCGTGGTGAGTAATATGCTCCCTGATTGGGTCACCTGACAGTCATTTCTGTGGATACCTGTTGAATAGTGTTAACTTTCGCTTCTCATTTGAACAACACTTTGAATGATCCCGAAATTTTAACGTGTATTTGGCGTGCAGTTTTGTGACAAACTGTGGCAGCAAGGTTGGAATTTAATGGAGGCCTTGAAAGATGTCTCTTCTGCACCTCCCCAGCTGATTTCACCGTTTTCTCCTCTGCCTCTTTCTCCTCTGCCTCTTTCTAGTCAATCCAGTTTTTAGAAACGAGTGAATATTGGTTGAGATTCTGAATTGTTATTGGACATCAGTTAGTGAAACGCTGCGCACATGGTCGGTTCGCTGTCTCTCCCTCTTCATCTCCTTCAGTTCTCATTAGTTTTCAAGCTTCAAATAGCGATTTTGGTTTGAAAATGATTAATCGTTCAGCCCTATTAGGCAGGGTTGTAAAAAGGGTTGCCTCACTAGTTGGCACATCCTGGCTACTGTACTCCTGGCCAGTCCAGTTTGTGTTGTGGGTTTTAGTGATAAGTGTCAAATGCACCATGATAGGCCAGTGTTTAATCCACTTTATTGTTGTCAGTGAGGATACGTTGATCGTCTAAAGGTGTTTTCGATGCAGGATCATACAGCTGGAAGCTGAGAGCCTCATTTTGACTCCAGCGGCTGAAAGCTGCAGACTAGAAATATCTGGAAGCTGGTGTGTGAGTAAGCACTCCTGCACTCCCACCGACGCTCACTGATACCATCGTTTTGCGAGGGAGGAGATGACCTTCTTTTATCAAACGTTACGGTCGACTAATACTGAGGAGGTCAGAGGTCACAGCAAACAGACTGTAAGTGAATGATGGCTGTGCAGCTGCAGACTCCTCTGTAGCTGCGGCGCTGGAGGAGGGATGCTGAACTCTCTGTTGCCATGGAAACACTAATCATGAGTGTGTGTGTGAGAGAGACCCACTTACCTTCACAATGGGTGGTTGCGTAACGTAGATAAACAGCAGCGACCTTCAGAGTGACATTGAGACGCAGACTCGGACGTAGAGACAGGTATGTTCAGGTTGTTAATGAGAGAGACGGGAAGATGAGAAATGGGGGAGTCGGACGGCGATACAGAGAGACGGGAAGGTCAAAATGGATGGTGACTGTTGAAAAATCGATTCGCACAAGAACAGCTATTCCTCTGTTGTTCGCTTAAATCATAGAGGCCGTTGACATCTGGTATTATTATGAATCTCCAGTGTCCAGATTAACAGCCGATCGCTCGGTCCAGCTTAAACCAAGTCACGTCCTCCTTTGCATTTGTGCGGGTCCAATAACTTTCTGAACTCCCCTTTACACCATGATTTGTTTTCCTTCGCGATCATGCACCGTGTTTTCCTCAGCTGAGCTGGAAAGTGAAACTTTAGTTGCCGCCTGCCAGCGTTTCCTTGCTACATGTGTGCACCAGGGCTGAAACAATTCATTGATTAAATCGATTACTAAAAAGCATCGATGCAAATTCTTTGCATTATAATGACGCTGTTTGCAAAGTAGAGAAAGAGAGAAAATAGCGAGGGACAAAGAAGAAAAGTGTCTAAAGTCTGGGATTATTTCAAGCTAAAGAAAACAACAACTCTGTAATGTTACAGTCCGTCCACCGTAAAGGCTAGCAAAAGTAAGTCGCAGTCCTCAGCTGAAAATGTGCACACGTGAGTTTGGGTTGTAACGTCACAGTCATGAGTTAAGAGGAGCTGCACCTCAGTATAACTTATAGAGCACTCTGTTGATGTTTGTGTTGGTAAAGCAGTTGTCTGGTTGTTGGTCAGATATTTGCTGTACACACTATAAATTCCCGAAAGGACTAATGGCGTAAAACTTCAATTAATAGCCGAGTCCCAAATAGCCGCCTACCTCCTTTACTGGCCTGCTGTGGGAACACATTTTGACAAATAAACGCCTGCCTCAATTAAACGCCTGGTCTGGTTTTTATAGAAGTTCTTTGGATGTATAAAACCTCTTAAACCCTGCGGGGTCGCTGCTTTAGCTGCTTCTAAGCTGCTTAGATAATTAATTGATAATTAATATGGACATGCTGAACATCGTTAGATCGGTTAGATTCTCCACAATACCACTGTTAAATTCATTTAACGGAAACAACAACACCCAAAGTATAATTCTTCTAGATTTACTGGTGCAACCTGCATGGCTACAAGAGAGGAAAAGGGGGGGAAAAGTGATGACTCAAGTTAACTTTGAAGCGCTCGTTAAGTCCAAATGTGTCCGTTCCTTGACTATTTATCTTCCTTTAGTCTGTGAGGGTCCACAGATCAAAAGAATCTAAACAGCTTTTCAGAAAAATTAATCCAAGTTGTGAATCCTGTCTCTGTCTGCTAACTTCTCTCATCCCTGTTGTTTTCGTGAGGTTGCTGCCTTCAAAATAAAAGCGCATAAGGCGTCTTTGGGAGCTAGATCAAATGAATGAATGAATGACGTGTGTTTTGACAATTTTTACTTAAGTATTATTCTGTTTGAAATAAATAAACTGTTTCATAGTAATTTCAGTTTTGTGCAAAAAGAATTAAAGGCCATGTTCAACTTTGGGAAAAACACAGCGCTTGTCACTGTCACTTTTTCCCAGCCGTCCAATCACAGTGCAGGAGGGGCGGGACAAACACCATACCGCGCACATCTGGTCTTGAACAAAATGTGTTTATTTGCCCGAAAATTCTCATGGACCCACATACGGCGACTCTGTCCTCATGCTTCATGCGTCTTCTCTTCATGCAGAGCAAGTAAGCCTACTTTGTAGTGACATTTTCTACACAGTAAAATTAAGTACCCTACTTGCAACACATCACCTCCCACGGAGATTATGTATCATAGCAACCACAGCCTCAAAAAAAAACACTGCGCCTCCAAAACGCAGCCTAGCGCTCCCAGCTAGGCGTTTTCAGATGGTAAAAAACGGTTTGGTGCCAAGCTAAAGTTTACTTACCTGATTACTTGATGGAATTAGTCTGAAGAATGCTCAATTACTAAAATGATCGACAGCTGCAACCTTAACTGAACGGACCCACGGCCTGTAGTTTACACTTGTGTTCAATGTGGTCATTTTGGGTGGGTTTGGCCAATGGGATCACAATTTGTCCTCGATGTGTCTTGGGTGCACTTACAAAAGTACTTTTCATGAGGTCAAGTACTATTTGATTATAATTGGGTCATCCAAAATGCATTTTAATGCCAGGTGTAAAAGATAAATTCCAAAAGTTGATGTTTGTAATAAGATTAATTAAGTTTTATATTGACGTAACAAAAGTGAAACTCAACTGCAAGGTTGCAAAGTTTGGAATGCAGGATGCAGTATTTGTACACTGGTATTACTACTTTTACACATATTAGAGTAGTAGTTAATCTTTGCATATTTTGGATTTAGGACCTAATAGTTAGTTTTATTAGGCTAAGGTGAAGTATTTTGTGAGTACTTTGTACTCCACCACCTCCAGACTGAAAGGAGCACCGAACAGCTGCACTAACAAACGAGACCGGCTGACCAACACACACTGCAGCACTTTCCAAAACTTCACCCAACTCTGCTGGGGAAAAAAGAAAATAACTCTGTCTACAGTCTGTCTCTTTTCCACATCCCTACTTTGTACAGCGTTTTGGACAACGAAGGCTTTCTGTAGTAAACATAGCCGTTTACCCCAGAACACACACACCAACCTCTTTTGTTGGTCAGTAAATTGGACTTTAATTAATTATATTCCTAAAGGAAAACGGATGACTGTAATCAGGTATTATTAATTAATACTTGCATGGATTGAAATTTATTCCATAAATAGGGTGAACAGGAGGACAAAAATATATTTAAATTGATGCTGTTTTCAGTGCGTCAGTCGAGCAAATATAAGTAAATAGTTTCATGTATCACATGTTCGTTTCCTTATAGAGCCAAACGCTGAGCGCCAGCGTGCGGATGTGATGCGCTGCTTGTAAAAACACATTATGGAAAATGTAACACTATTTTATTAAGTAAATCTTTCAGCTTAAGTCAGATTTCTTTTAACTCATCGCCAGCCTTGTTAAGTGAGTGGGCTGTAAATAAATATTTAAACACAGCTGGAAAGCATTTGGTTTACTCTCTTTTCAAACAGGGGGAATCCAAATTAGTACCTGGGTCATCCAGTCTTGTGTCCCCCTCCGGTCAGTGACGTCACTACCAAGGAGGGAGGCCCCTTCCTGCAGATCCGTTATAAAGGGGCGGAGCTCCGGTGCCCCCTTTCCTCCGGTGCACAAGCATTGCATGAAAAGTGTATTTATTTATTTTTTTACCCACCAAACAGCTTCAGCTTCACTAAAAGGAACATGAGGTTCACGCTGAGTTAAATCTCGTTTTGTAGCTTCTCTGTCAGAATTTACCTCCTTTTCTTCCTGCAGTCAGGACGTATTAATATTAATGAGCGGCGTTTCACTGACCGTTTATTGGCAACTATGGGCGTTTGAAGGGTCGGACATGGAGCTCCCTCACATGCTCAAGTTCATTGTGATTTATAAAGGGAACTTGCTTACAACTGTGTGTATGCACGGTTTTACAAGTCTGAATATTTTTTTTGGCTTTTGGACTTTCTACGCAGTTTTATAAATGAGACCCCGGATCCTTTTAAATGCGATGTGAGTCTGGACACTCTAGAGCAGCTGTTTTCACCTTCCTGCTGTAGAAGACGGAACCGCGGTAATAATTATTATTATTATACGTGTGGCACATTTAAGTACTAATGTGAACTGAAAAAATTGTAATTGAGCATTAAGACCTACAGGCTGAGCGTAGCCAAAATAATCTGGCCACGGGCCAGATGTTATTGCTGGCGGGCCAGCTTTGGCCGCCTACTGCCGACCATTGCTATTGGGTTACAGCCTGCTATTTTATTTTCCTATTATTTATTATTCTGGAAACTATTTTCTTGATTAATCTTCTTTATTTATTTTTCAGAATCAATCGATTACATTTT